CCAGTACATGTGTCAAAATTTTCATTTAAAAATTATAGTAAAATAGCCGACAACAGTCAATCCATCCATTTAACCGTAAAGTTTTTTATAAGGAACATTTTTTACCTTCATGGTTTTGAAATCGTTTACAACTGGTATGGTTTAAAAACCATGAAAACAACGGTTTTTTGACTATTTACAACTAGCTTGGTTTTAAAACCATAAAAAAGAAATTTAACTAAATAGTTTAGGAGCTTTATGGACTTGCCATCTGTGCGTGTATGCTAGCATCGTATTTTAATAGTTTAGGTTTTTAATAGTTTAATAGTTTAGGGTTTTTGGGAGTGCAAATTTGGGAGTGCAGGACACTGGAAACTCTTCGTGTGTTGAAGGGAAAGCAGGAAATATTGTGGTGTAACCGTTGGGACTCGAACACTGGTTCTGTCGATCATAAGAGTGACAAATTAGCCCTCTTGGCTATAATATGTACCCAGTTGCAAAGAACTAGGAAGCTTCATTAGGTGGACCTAGTTGGTAAGATAAAATTCTGGTTGTGTCACCGTAATAGGTGAAAAGCCATTAATAAACAGTTTTTCTCACAGTTAACGGTTTGAATACCATCATATTTATAGTTATTTGACTGTTTTGGTTATATATGGTAAAATAACAATTAAATAAATTGCCATTTAACCGTTTTTCTGTGAAATTTCTAACAGTATATGAATAATGAAATAAATATTTTATCAAGTACGTACATTTGGAAATTCCAATAATATTAAGCATGGAACATAAATTTTTATTGTTCTTTCTTTTCTTTTAATTCTGAGCAAAAACGTCAATGACACGCATTTATTGCTATTAACAGGCAACAAGAGAAAATAAAATAGAAAGAAAACCAATGCGAAAATAAACAACCTGAAAATATTTTGAATGTGATAATAAATACGGTAGTTTATTCAAAACTATCCGTAAAACGTGAGATGCATAAGGCCACCTATGTTCTACAAATCACGTGAATTTGAAGGGATCGCTATAGTTCAACTAATACAAACGCGCATGTAGAATAGATGGAAAAATCTTTTTAAGCGGAACACATTAAATACTCATTCTGAAAGCAATAAAGTTTTTATAATAAGAAATAATAACTTTTCAAGATATTAGATAGCAACAAATTTAATCCGTATTTAGAAAAAAATGGCAAAAAAATTTTAATTTCATTAATTAAGCATTTTCATTTCTAAACTTTTTTAAATATTTTAATAAATTTAACTCTACAGACTTATTTTTTATTTTTTTCGCTCAAATCAGTTTTAAAATCTTGGTACGCAAAGTGAAGCAAAGACATTGGAATCCTACACTAAAATAATCTTAAATGGAATGTTTAACAAGAAAATAATGAACATGATTTTTAAATAATTGAAATAAACAAAAGCAATTTCAGATTGCCCTTACATTTCAGAAATAATTTCAACCCATTTTCAGAACAATAACATGCTTTAAAGCTCCTTTATCCTTTACTTCTGTAATATGCATATGTATATGCATGAAATAATTTTACTTCAATAATTATTTTCTGCTAAAGTAATATGCTAAAAGAAAGAAAAAATAACAAATTTTTAAAAATTATGTTTGTTTATCGTGAAGCGAAATTTTATATAATTACCAACAAGAAATACAATTTTCTTTAAAAAAAAACAATATATATTTGTTATATAAAAATTACTGCTTTTTTTTAACAACCAAACAATCCTTTTATTGTTCCACAACAAATGTTTCGAATTTATTTCCAAACAGTAATAATAATAGTATATAAAAAGAAAACTGATTGCGAAATATTTAAAGTTTCCCCAAACAGAATTCATATAATACTTCGAAAAGAATCTTAAACAAATTTTAACATTAATGGTTAATATTAATCAGGGTTACTTAGGGAGAAATTTGGGTCCACCCTCCACATTATCGTTAAAACGGCTCCTCAGTAATTAATCTACAGAAAAAAACGGATACTTCCCCATATGGTTAAAGTTGATTATATATATATATATATATATATATTGTATTACCGCTTGTTATTGCTATCATGCTATCAACTTTTGTCTTGCACACGAACACGTAATACTTTTCCTAAAGCAACTGAGTTTGTGGTTAAATAGCAAACTTATTTCGTGCAATTTTGGAATGAATATAAAGCTTTTATACACACATACATTGCATTGGTCAAGACGTGTTTAAATCAATCTTATATTCACCCTGATCATAAAAATTGCTGTTTAAGTTTTAATAATATTATCGATGAATACGGAAAAACTTGCTTAAAGCACTTCATTGTGGTTAAATGACAAGTAGCTAATTTTACCTTAGAAAGTGTTAGTTAAACATTATAAATATCGTTAACTTTTTTTTGTATCTTATTCAAATGAGGAAAAACTATCTTTAAAGAATTACCTTTTCATAAGTTTAAATAACAAGTAAGCAAACTTCAAATAATAAGAAGCTNCACGTGAATTTGAAGGGATCGCTATAGTTCAACTAATACAAACGCGCATGTAGAATAGATGGAAAAATCTTTTTAAGCGGAACACATTAAATACTCATTCTGAAAGCAATAAAGTTTTTATAAAAAGAAATAATAACTTTTCAAGATATTAGATAGCAACAAATTTAATCCGTATTTAGAAAAAAAATGGCAAAGAAATTTTAATTTCATTAATTAAGCATTTTCATTTCTAAAATTTTGTAAATATTTTAATAAATTTAACTCTACAGACTTATTTTTAATGTTTTTCGCTCTAATCAGTTTTAAAATCTTGGTACGCAAAATGAAGCAAAGACATTGAAATCCTACACTAAAATAATCTCAAATGGAATGTTTAACTAAAAAATAATGAACACGATTTTTAAATAATTGAAATAAACAAAAGCAATTTCAGATTGCCCTTACATTATAAAAATAATTTCAATTCATTTTCAAAACAATAACATGCTTTAAAGTTCCTTTATCCTTTACTTTTGTAGTATGCATATGTATATGTATGAAATAATTTTACTTCAATAATTATTTTTTGTTAAAATAATAAGCTAAAAGAAAGAAAAAATAACAAATTTTTAAAAATGATGTTTGTTTATCGTGAAGCGAAATTTTATGTAATTACCAACTAGAAATACAATTTTTATTAAAAAAAAACAATATATATTTCTTATATAAAAATTACTGCTCTTTTTTTAACAATCAAACAATCCTTTTATTGTTCCACAACAAAAGGTTCGAATTTATTTCCAAACAGTAATAATAATAGTATATAAAAAGAAAACTGATTTCGAAATATTTAAAGTTTCCCCAAACAGAATTCATATAATACTTCGAAAAGATTCTTAAATAATTTTTAACATTAATGGTTACTATTAATCAGGGTTACTTAAGGAGAAATTCGGGTCCGCCCCCCACATTATCGATATACGAATACGTAATACGAATACGAATACGTATATACGAATACGTAACGAACACGAACCACACGAACACGTAATACTTTTCCTAAAGCTATTGAGTTTGTGGTTAAATATCAAACTTATTTCATGTAATTTCGTGAATGAATATAAAGCTATTACGCACACACATTGCATTGGTCAAGAAGACGCGTTTAAATCAATCTTATATTAACCTTGACCTTACAAATTGCTGTTTAAGTTTTAGTAATGTTATCGACGAATGTGGAAAAACTTGATTGAAACATATTGTGGTTAAATGACAAGTAGCTAATTTTACCTTAAAAAGTGTTAGTTAAAAATTATAAATGTCGTTAACTTTTTTTTGTATCTTCTTCAAATGAGGAAAAACTATCTTTTAAGTATTATGCTTTTATAAGTTTAAATAACAAGTTAGCAAACTTTAAATAATATTAACATGAAAGAAGCTAGAAAAGATTATGACGTATTCGTCTCGAAACATCTTTATACGAAAAAGGGAAATAACTTTCATGGAATGTTTTTTAAATGTTTATTTTAAGCTCAAATCATAATTAAATAAATGGTTATAATTGAATAGTAAATAAAAAAAATCGTATAACATTTATTACATACATACTGAAAATTTTGGATTAATTATAATTATAATTTTTTTTACCTTCAAAATTATTACCTTGTCTACATCGTTTCTAATAAATACAACTAATAATTATTTTATTAATTCAATAATTCTTATAAAATGAAAACGAGGGTAACTTCAACTGTGACTCATTCATTTTGCTTGGATAAAATAATATGTAACTAGACACAATCATAGGAACTTAATTTGTTACTCCTGATAAAAATAATATTCTGACACATTTGTGTGGAATATTATTTCTGAATTTTATATTTTTATTAATAAAAAATATTTATTTATTAATTACAGCTTTAATTAATAATAACTATATAACTTTAATTGTGACTCATTTGTATTTTTCAGGGAAAACAAACTTGATACTTGTATTTCTCGGATATCTATTAGGATAACTTATTAGGATATCTATTTTCAGAGAGTATTAGCATAAATTACTTTCGAAGAAAAAATAATTTATTGATATTTTTTTCTATAAGTTTCAACAGTTAATAATTTATATTAATAATAACACAATTGATAATAGCATAATTGATAATAACACAATTGATAATAACAATGTAACTTTAACAGTGATCATTCATGTTTTTCGATAAAAAACAAACTCGACACATTTTTATCTAGTTTAATTTGATCCAGATATAAACTTATTAGAATATCTATTATCTAAGGGTATTAGGATAAATAATTTAACAAGAGAAAATAATTTATAAATATTTTTTTCTATCATGACAAGAATAAAACTAGAAAACAAAACTTTCAAATCAAGATGGAAATCCTTAACTTCAACAAGTTTGAGTCAAATTTAATTTCTAAAATTAAAAAAAAATTTAAAAAATGAATAATTTTTTTTTCAAAAAATATTGCTTTATTAATTTTTAATCAATTTAAAAAAAAAATTAAAAAAAACAATTGCTCTTACCTTTCCAAGAAATTTTCCTTTTACATAAGTTGTTTTAGTTCCAGGGTCAATAATATATTCTGGTAAATCTTTTGCCAATTCCACTATTTTTGGCCTCGGTGGCTTGATTGCTAACATTTCAGGATCTCGGTTATTTCCTTTGGATAACCACTCTGCTTTAACCACATCAACAGGGGTGAGCAGAGTTGTTTGCACCTTACTTGGTTGCCCCATCCCCAAATATAAATTCACAACACCAAACCAAAATACTCAATGCCGGTACGTATTTCATTCGAATATTCGCTCTCTAAAACGCTCACCGACTTTATTCCACTTTTGTCAAAACTCGGAAGTTTCGCACTTCCGGTGACAATTTTAAGAATCGTTTTCAATTCTTTCTGATGAACAATAAAATAAAGTTGGAAAAGAAACAATGACAACGATTTTAAATGAAACACTCGTAAATTTCTTTTCGAAGCACTAGCTCTTGTTTATTTATCTTTTTGTTTTCAAGTGCAAGTCCACTCACCCCCGTTTAGATCAGAGAAAATTGCACTTGCGTGAGTCACATGCGATGATTCCGTAAACAGAAAACGATTTCAACTATCGCTAACATGCGGTAGATATGATTTGAAATGAAGAGAACTATCGCTAGTTGCTTAGGTGTTTTTTGGGGTTACAGGTGGCGATGAAAATACTCGTTTCTCGCCAATGAATAACGCCAAAAGGATTGTTTGAAGTTTTCCTCCCTGCATTACACCTGCGTGAGAAGATAAAAAAGGTTCAGATTTTTCGTGGATTAGGAATGATAAGTTTGAGAAAGAAATGTAATATTTTCACACGTTTCTCATTGATAAAAACACTTTCTTCCTAGATAAGTTTGAAGAAAACCGAAACTATTTGATGTCGAATTTAATTCTAACGTATTTCACGGTCGTATAACCTTCGAAAATTAAGTTTTACGAGTAATTTACTTTTCTTTTTTTTAAAAAAAATGTGATTAAAACTAAATGAAAGGACGAAATGAACTAATTCTATGTAAATGGAGTAAAACACTCTCGGACTTTTTTGAAGTTTCAGTCATTTTTATTGTTTACTGCTGTACTTTCTGCATTATTATTATTTACTGTTGTAAATATGTTTGTCATATTTGATTTATACTTATCTTGTATTCTTACAAATATAAATCAAAGGGAGAAAATATAATAAATTAAAATAATTAACTTCCTAAATTAATTAAATGCACTTCAATTAAATTTATATTTTCATTATTATCACTTCAATATATATTATCTTAAATGAATGAATGAATATCACATAATATGGAATAGAATATCACATAATATAGAATAGAATATCACATAATATAGAATAGAATATCACAGAATATGGAATAAATGAGTATCACATTGAATGTGGAACATCATACAATTTTTTTAAAAATAATTTTCTCTTGTTGTCGTTTCGTTTGGCTTGTTGTCGTTGATGTTTTTAAATAATTCTCCTTTGTATGATATATAACAGAACATAATTACATGTTTTATAACATACATAGATATAAAAAAATTATATGTTCTGTTATATGCTAAGGTACATAGTAAAAGTATTAAAATTCGTTTAATATTATCGTCGGCTTTTAATAGTAATAACGAGGTAAATAGGTGAAAGTGACTAATCTATCTTTATTTACCGGTGGTTATTAATAATTAACAATAAAATTTGGTCAATGTAATTATTAACAAGGTTATTTTTAATGATCGTCTGTTATTATTAATAATAAATAAATTTATTACTTTAATTGTGTGAAACTCTCCTGCTGTGAATTTTACTAATTAAATGTATTGAAATAAATCAATTTGTTTCAAATTGTATAGGATTTATTGATTTCGTATTTGTGGAACTATATTAAATTTTATGAACACAAGATTTCATAAATTATCTCTCATCAATAGATATGATATAGTAAAATTGAGCATTTAAAACTATTATTTTAAATTCAAACATGAGTTAAAAATCGTATTTCACGTAATCTATGTAATAAAATAAAGAGTTTATATGTGTGCATCTGTATGCCAGATTTCGGGTTGACGGTTGACTCTGTGGCTTAACTACCACTACGAATATTAAATACCAAATCACTAGTATATAAGACATGTTAACTCTATTCTATCATGAGGTACCTCTTGATAGATGAAGGTTGACATAGTCAATAAAATATATCTCCTCATGGTAAAACTTGCGGACGTGATAAGAACTAGCCAATATTGATGGATGATCTGCATTAAACAGTTGATTTGCTTAAAAATATACTGCTCAAAAAAAGAAAAAAAAATCCGGTGAGAAAAATGAAATCTCCCGGTTAATAAACAATATTGAAGGGGGGGAAAATTGGGTAAAGTGCTATAAACAAAAATAAGAAAAATTAATGAGCAAAATGCTTTAAATAAAGAAGAAAAATATAATGAGCGAAAATGATATAAATATATAAAAAGAATGAATCAACTAGTGGTAATCGTTCATCGAATTCTATCACAGATAAAATTCTGAAAGGGGAGTAATGTGGCGTAACTACCACTATAAATATTAAATACCAAATCACTAGTATATAAGACATATTAACACAATTCTATCATGAGGTATCTTTGATAGATGAAGGTTGACATAGTCTATACATAAATCCCTTCAAATCTAAGAATACGAAATTCAACATAAAGCAGAATAAGTACAATTGTAAACTTATTAGGAGGCCTGATTTTTAATTAGATTTCTAAATTAGGTAACATTTAGGATGTGGAATTTTCTCATTGGTTTAGCGGAAGCCATTGTCTTAAAATAAACCATTAACGATTTAGTATTTTTTTTTTAAATTTTTTTTTTATTTAAACGACTTAAAACTCCTCATGCACCACAAAGTATAGCATGAGGCTTACAGTTGTAAGTAGAAAACAAAAGAAGAAAAATTTACAAATTTACATTAAAAACAAAATTCCGCAAGGCCGCAAGACTTTCAATACTTTTGACCAGTTCTGATAAGACAGGTGGCCAACAAATAGAAAGACGTCTCAAATCAGTCTTTAAAATTCATTCGGGCACTCGCATACAGACTACAATGAAGAAGAATATGTTCAGCATCNTTATTTTTTATTCGTTGTGCCAAGTTATCTGAATGATTGTTATACCATAGGCGGACTGCAACACTAAAGAAGTATTTCTAAGGTTATCAGAAACCACGTGTTTATTTTGCTCATTGTTGTGTTTTTTGAACATGTTTTTATGTAACTAAATAATTTAAAAACAATGATGTCAGAAACAAGGAGTCAGATAAATTCAATAATTCAATTGATAAAAAAATATCGTACTAAAAAACAATTTCAGGAAGAAATGGTGTTAACTCGTTGAGGATAAATGTTTAAAAAAAACGCCAATATTATTCTTGACACAAAGGATAATTAAATTTTGTTACTGTTACAAATTGAATTAAAATAATAAGTTATGTTCAAAAAGACTAAATTAAAGGAAAAATTTTACTTATTTATTTCATAGAGGTTAAAAAGTGTTATGACGTCAATATGTTATTGACATCAATGATGCTTAACTAATTTTGGTAATAGGAACTAATATAAAAAAATAAGCTATGTACTAAACAGTAAAATTTATGGAGAACATGAACTTATTCGGTACGGGGAACTGTAAGAAGTCGGCTTACTATTATTGATAGCAATGATACTCAATTTGGAAAATAGCCCAACTGGTATCAAGGTAATTGTTGCAGTTTTAATGGGTACCAAATATACTTAGCGTACAACGTAATATACTTAGCGTACAAATTAGTTTCTTGGGCTTTTTGTTAGACTTATTTTTTTCTTTGTGCCAGGTTATCTAAACAGTCAACGTGATCGTGATAGCATAAGCCGACTACGTTATCAGATAAATGTAAGGTTATCTGAAACCACGTGTTTATTTTGTTTAGTTTATTCTTTTAAAACGTGCTACTATTAAACTAAGTAATTTAAAATCAACGGTAATTAAAATTTTTAAAAAAATTTTGAACTGAAAAGTAAGTTAAGGGAGAAATGATACTAATTGGCTGAGGAAAAACGTAATAAAACGCCAAATTGTTGACATTAATGACAATTAATTTTAGTAACAGTTACAAATTGAAATAAAAACAAATAAGCTATGTACGGAAAAGAAAAATAAATGGAGAAATGGCACTAATCCCTAAAAAGAGTAAAAAGTCGCCTTACTATTATTGATGCTTAATGGTAATAAGTAGGACTGACATCATGATAATTGATCAATATTTATAGGTACCAAATATAGCGTTATATAGGTACCAAATGGTTTATGAGTTAATTTGATGCCGATTGCAGCTGCACCGAATAATGCATATTTTTATGATAGATATTTTACAGCCCCTCGAAGATATAAATTAAGGGAGAAAGTTACTTGTGGTAAATTTTAAATATCATGAGTTGCCTCGAGCCAACAATTTCATGCCAGATGATTCTGAATACATTTAATCTATATTTTCATGGGACGGACTACTAAAAATCTTTTTCGCTTAATCTAATAACGTAAAGCCACCGAGATGGCCATGGGATAATCTATACATGTAAGAATATAAGGAATGGTGGGTCTCTGTCTGTATACTGGATTGCTGGAATACCTTAAGCTCTAAGAGATTCAAATTGAATCTAAAGGAATAAAATTGTAAACAAATTACGAATCTCAAATTTTCGACTTTTATATTTATTATTGGTTGGTTGGTGTCGTATCCTCTATTGAATCATATTTCATGGTGTGCTTGAATAGTTTTTGTTATTTCTATGGCATTAAAAGAATACAAATCCTCTTCTGTGGGGTATATTTATTATTATATTTTATATATTGCATTATATTATTTCTTATTATATATTATATTTCTTATTATAGTTTAAATTCAGAGACATATTTTAAAAATAGAATCTTCTCATTGACTAAAGTTTGCTTATCTCAGGTTCTGTTGTACTTAATTATATTTTATTTGCTATGCCAGGTTATTTAATGATCAAAGTAATCTCTGTTGCAAAAGCAAACTACATCACCAAATTATTATTTGTAAGGCTGCCTACAACCGCCTGTTAATCTTGTTTATAGTTATGCTTTTAAAACGTGTTTTTATAAAACTGAATAATTTTAAAATCAACGGTAATTGAAATAAAAGAAAATTGTTTTGAAAAAAAATTTGTACTAAAAAGTAAAATTAATACAGAAATGTAACTAACTCGTTGAGAATAAACATAAAAAATACCAATGTTATTGTTGACACTAATTAATCTTAAACACTAATTTTGAGCTACATTCATTTCAGCAGCACATATTTCAAGCTATATCCATCTCGTTAAACACTAAGTTTGAGCTACGTTTAGTTCTTCAACACGTATTTCAAGCTAGGTCCATTTCCTTAAACACTAATTTTGAGCTATGTTTAGTTTTCTGCAAAATTTTGAGCTATGTTGATTTTTACAACACGTATTTCAAGCTTAGAATATTTTCTTCACTACGTATTTCGAGCCTCATTATGCATTTTATTTTTCAAAAATGCATATCAAGCTATGTCCATTTTCTTCTTAAATTTCGAGCTATGTTAATTTCCTTAAACACTAA